AACTTTCATAGGCTAAGGGTTACCCAAGAAAAACTACTACCAAGCAGTAAATCACCCCAAAAAAGTGTGCCTATGCTATCCTTAAAAGTCGAGCCTTGTACTAGATCAAATCTTATCCCACCAGTTTAAAGAGCCTTAGGAGCTCAAACAGGCGATGTGATGGTGAAGAGTGGACTTTGAGGCCAAACTCCCTGGTTTTAAATCCTGGCCCCACCACTCACCAGCTGTTTGACATTGACCAAATAACTCACTCTGCCTCAAGGTCCTCTTCTGTAAATGAGGGTAATACCAGTAACAGCCCCCCCCCTTCGGATTAAATAAGTTAATACACATAAAGCACTTCGTGTCTGACAGATAAGTATCCAATGAGTGTTAGCCATTATTCTTTGTTTTTGTTCTTGTTAGGTGCCGTGGAGTTGTTTTCCATTTTCAACTCATAGCGACCCCATGTGAACAGAATAGATCTGCCCCATAGGGTTTTGTTGGCTGTAATCTTTACAGAAGCAGATGGCCAGGGCTTTCTCCCGCATAGCCACTGAGTGGGTTCAAATGACTAGCTTTTCAATTAGCAGCTGAACACTTGTGCCATAAGGGTTCTTACTGGCTTTGTATTCTTTGTCACAGTCTAGGGTCATCCACTGGGTGACTTAAATGCACGAAATTTGACGTTTTTAAAAACTCCCCACTCTTAAACCATTGTGCTGGTCGTCATTAAGATTAGAGTAGAATACACTTATATTTTGCAATTAGAAATCAATTATGTGTATGTCAAAAAGGAATAATGTTTTTCTTTCTCTGTGTGTGTGTGTATTGCTACTGACTGTAGTGCTCTATGTGAAAAGTACGAAGGACAAAAGAATATATTCCTGTTTTGCTTTTCTGCTGTCACACTGAAGTATAGGAGACCAAGTGAATGAAAAGACTGTTGATGATGACTATGGTAGTTGAAAAAATAGGTTTTTCTTTAGCTTGCCATTTCTTAAAATATTTAGCTTAAAAGCATTCAAAATGATTCAAGAAATTGTTATCATTTACTTTTGATTTTTGACCCTCTGGAGATTTAGTTTTTGCTTTCAGCTCTTTCTTCCCCCAGTCTGCTTATTCACTTAATATAAAAATTTTAAATGTTCTCTATGGTTTTAGTTTAGAGGCTATTTATGCTTTCCATGGTAGCAGGTTACAGCGAAGGAAATTTTCTCAACTTCCCTCCCCCTTCCTACCCTGCCCTCAGATCACAGCTTATTAAAATAAAATCTGAGAAAAATCCTGAATTGCTGCCTTTGTTTTTGAGGAAACTGCAAATTGTCCTTTTGCTCTCAGTAAACAAAATCAGATTACACAACACTAGAACCACCATCAACACTGAGTATATTAGATGAATATGAAATCAGTAAATTTTCTCATATTACTAATAAAAATTAAAATAAATTACGTAAGACAGCTAAGCTGAATATTCATTGTATCAAAAGCTTGTTTACTAGTGATTTAGACACTAATAAATCAAAATAAAATGTGCTAGTTTTTTTTTTCTGTCTTTCCCAAAGGTGATTATTTTATATACATTTTAAAATGAAGATAAATATGCAGACATTGCTATATTTGGGTGTTTCTAAAATTATGGAATTTGTCTTGTTCCTAAATCAGTTTCTTTTTATAAATTCAACTTTAAATGTAGTTACCCTGTGTCTCTCTCAGTATGAAAATAATTATATAGGCAATTGTTAAATGCAGCTGAAAAGACCATTTATGACTCTGAATAAACAGAAATCAGGTTCTAAAACCAGATTGAAAGAAGGAAATTACATCACACTCTTAAATAAGGAAGCACTGGGTAGAACTGAATGAGTTATATGACAAAAATGTGCCCCTCCTCCTCTTGTGAATTGCTCCTGAGATTTATTAATGAGATCTGGTGGCAAGGTAGGCATATCTAGATTACTGTCTTAAGGCAGCCTGGTTTTTTAAAGACAGTTTCAAAGAGATTATCCTCCAGCTAAAGGCATATGATTTCACCTTAATAGAGGATGTGCAGTATGCTTTTTGGTGTAACTTTAAGGAAAGTGACCTTAAGTTTAGCAGCAAAAACACCGAAGGTGCATTGTAATCCAGGAAATAGTAAGAGAAGGTAAAAATTCACTGTTTTCAGAAAGCACCGCCCATTGTCTTCAAATAAATATATAGTAACAGAAACCAGTTTAGAAAGTTACGTTGTTAGCCATTTAAACTCATAAGTTTACCAGTCTGCAAACTGTCCACTTTGGATTTTGGAAATTAATAAGTTTCTTGCATGTTACATATCCTAAACTTGCTCTACATTATTATTGGGCACTCACCTCACTCCAGCAAATGTTAGTTTATTCCTTACAAATCTTTAGTTTTTCTCCTAGAATTACTGTTTTGTTTTTTTAATGAGAAGGATATGTTCTCAATGTCCATTTAACAAATACTATGAACTAATGATGCCAGGATCTATCTACAGGGAAAAAACATAAGCCAGACATCAGTCCTGTTCTCTAGAAGATTTGGAGGATGGGTGGCAAATAAGAACACAGATCATAAAGAAACACACTGCTCTGGTTTTTCATAGTACAGAAGGGGTTCGAGGAGAAGGTGGCATAAGAGATGGCCTTAAAGGATAAGTTGTATTCTAATAGATCTAGGGAAAAGAGAAGGCCAAGAAGAGTGAATATACCATGGACTGCCAGAAGAACAAACAAATCTGTCTTGAAAGAAGTACAGCCACAATGCTCCTTAGAGGCAAGAATGGTGAGACTTTGTCTTACGTACTTGGGACATGTTAATCAGGAGGGACCAGTCCCTGGAGAAGGACATCATGCTTGGTAAAGTAGAGGTCAGCGACAAAGAGGAAGACCCTCAACAAGATGGATTGACACAGTGGCTGCAACAACGAGCTCAAACATAGCAACGATCGTGAGGATGGCACAGGACCAGGCAGTGTTTCGTTCTGTTTTACACGGGGTTGCTATAAGTCAAAACCGACTCAAGGGCACCTAACAACAAGAGCTAGAAAAAGGTAGATTAGGACCATGTTGTGGAGGCCTTAAATGCCATGCAGAGGAGCTTTAATTCCCATAGGAGCCTTTGAAGATTTTTGAGCAGTGAAAGATCTTAGTTTGAGTGTAGTTTAGGAATATTGGTCTGATCCTGGTATGCAGGATGGGTTGGGTGTTTTCAGACCCATAGCATAATGGTGCCAGTTGAAAGGAAGGTAGATTTGAGAAACAATGTAGAAATGGGCTGTGGAACTTGGCAATTGAATGTGTATTGGCTCTGACTTGGGTTAAAATGGTAACTTTTAGAAGAAGTGTGATCCTCTTAGACCATGGACTGTTTTGAGGCGAGGGAGGTGAAGTAAGTGAAAGGAGGTGTTTGGTTTGTAGAGTTTGAGATGCCAGAAGACCATCCAAGTGGAAAGATAATCACCAGACAGTAGGAAATGCATAGTTGAAGCTTGAGCCAGGGCTAGTCATTGATTCTGGAGCTGTCTAAATAGTCGAAGCTATACAAGTGGATTAAAACTCCAAGGAGGGATTATATAGAGACAAAATAATGAAAAGATAACCTCAAGAAACAAATAGTTTTGGGTTGGTTTTTTTTTCCCCCCTTGAATTGAAAAAAAAAAAAAAAAAATCAACTGATGCAAACAGGAAAAGGTGGTTCCCATCTGGGATTGGTATTTAATTGCACACACTGTAAAAAAGGCTAAAGATTACTAATCATGGATTCGAGAAAAGTTATGATGGCCCCAGGTTATCTGGATCCTGGTCTAAACCATGCTGCCTAGATGAACATTAGCTTTCATAATTTTGTATTTCATAACAGAATACCATCTCGTACTTTGAGATACTGATTTCCCCATGGAGGTCTATTTTTGTAGTTGTTTCCTGATAAATTGTAAGGCAGAGCTAGTTTTACATTTATAAGGAAACAAATCAGCTTTACTGCAGTATTAGTTAACTTTGACTTGAGCAGTGTGTTTCTTTTAAACTCGAGGTTTACCAGCTTAGTTCATTTTTCTCCAAGGAGTATGTATACTGAATTCAGGGTTTTGAGGGAGGTATAAGAGAGTTTCAGGTGGCTTTGTACCCGCAGTTTACAATCTGAGGAACACATTTTAAAAGTTTGCTTCCAAACCTATGGCACATTGCCCTTTTTGAGTCTACAGTTTGAAGTTGTTTTCCAAAAGAAGAGAACATGCAATTATATTGCTCTCCTCACTTCTCCCATGCAAGCAAGTAGGAAGTTTGGACAGTTTCATAACATGGCCCATTCACAATTCCCCATTGAAATTTAGAGGCAGGTCACCTTCTATGAATACACAAAGACACTATTGTGGTCAGAAGTGAGCTGGCTTAGTGAACACAATTCTTTTTATACTAAAAAAATTTTTTTCTTAAGAAAGCTAACAAATAGGTGATAGAAACAATGATTAAAAAATAACTTTTTCTAGAACATATAAATAATTTTAAGTGACCACTGAAATGTAAGTTTAGAATTGCAAGGCAGTTTCAGAAGAGGCAATAGTTACACAATCATTCTGTTGAAAGCTAAGATTTAGATGGCATTAGGAGGCTGACACACAGTAATTACTAGTAGTACTTGTTGGCTTGCAGACAGGTCGGGGTTGGGCCTCTAGAATCCCCTGCAGCATTTTCCTGTAATCTGGATGAGCGATCTTCAGACGTGTGCTTTCAAACTACTTAAATACCATATTCTTCTTCCTATCTTGCCTTTCATTTTTATGTTACCACAGATACTTTCCCTATAGTCTTGCCAGTGCTTGTAGAATCCTTAGAAAAAGCATGATAAACCACTGGGCTAAGTACACAAAGGGAGAGCTAGCAATTTAAAAAAAAAAAAAAGTTTTCTAAAGTTGTTATAGCTTTACTTGATTTATTAGGTAAAGTCACTAATACATGAAGAAAGAACATTTGCTTTATTTCAGTAATTAGCTAAAACCAACCCTCAAAAAAAAAAAAAGAAAACCAGTAATTTAGATTTCTTACTTGGGTTTTTTTCTGTTAATCAAATATTTTTGAGATAGTGAATTAAAGAAAAAAATGCTTGACTACTTCAAATAATATTTTAAAACGTCTCCCTAGTGTATCAAAGCAGCTGATTTTGGGAGAGTAAAAAGCAGAGAATCAGTTGGGGCCTCTCTCTCCTTTCTACATGGAAAAGTGAATAATAAACACCAACAGCATGTGTTTTAGATGTACGTTTTAGATCTTTAGCTAAAGAAACCCTATGCCTTATGCAATTGTAGGCACTCAGTTAATACAGATGATAATACTTAGATGGTATCATACGATCATCACTCAACAAACATTCACTTATTGAGCACCTACTAATGTTCCAGGTACTGATGATTCAAAGATGATTAGGACATAGCCTCTGTTCTTGAGCTCACAGTCTAGTAGGGGGTGACAGGTTTGTAAACAATAGATTGGAAGCTGCTGAGAAATTTAAAAAAAATCTGTGGTCCTCCTGGAGGAACAGACATGTCTCATTCGTCTGTGTATCAGTCCTCAGCATAGTGCCTGGGTGCACAAATGTCTACTGAGAGAATGAGAAAGTGTTATATGATAAAGTGTGTCTGTACAGATCCCAAAAAAGGGAGTCAAAGTTATACAGAGAGTTGACATATAATGTCCTAGGGCGTAAAAGAAAAAAAAAGCTAAACTTACTCTCAGTAAACCTATGACTATTTAAAAAAGATAGCCTTATTCTAACCATTGATGCTAATTAATATATATAAAGAATAATAAAAAGTAAAGTTAAAAAGAGGCTGTGGGGACTCCAGACATGTAACATTTGACAAGGGGGGTTCCTGAAGTTTAGAAACTACTAGATTAAGAAAAATTTATTTAGCCTTTGTAAGCTGTGCCTTGCAGCTAGGCAAGACATGAATTACTAGGCATTTCACAAAGGAGAATGTAAAGAATGTACCTTTAAGTTTATCTTTAGAAGGGAGGGAGAGAGGAAGCTGTTTCCAGGCTTCCGCTGAAGCTAGTAATCTTGCAGAACTTGATTTTTACAGGATAATGGAAATTAGTGTCTCCTTTACAACCATTTCTTTCTTGAACAAGTAATAACTGGAGAATTTGTCTTCCCATGGCCAACCCTGAAATACAGAATCCAAATAAATGCTAGGTGCTGTGGTAATCAGGTGCCAATACTATAGAATCTCTTGTTTAATTTAAGGGTTGAGTTTTAGTGAATATTAATTCTGCAGTATAAAGGACAATAATTTATGAAGTTACTTTTTTTTAGCATGGGAAAAATAAGATTCACTTGTGCTTTGTGTCCGGTACAGCCATACATTGGAAGGTTGGTTTAGTAGGAGGTTAGAGAAAGGTTTGTGTGCTTTAGCAAGTGAGCATGGTTTGTTGTGCAACTGTCAGGCTCTGCAAGAAGTAGTCTGCTTTTGCTGGCAATAGATTGTTTCTCACTTTGCTGAAACATTTGAAGTCGTGCATTAGTGTTTCTAAAAAGAAAATTATTTTTAGTGTCTACATTTAAGTACCCTTATGAGAAGTAAGAATTACATAATGTAAGAATTAAGTAAAAGTCTACAACTAAATTTTTCTATCCAACCTCTTCTAAATTCTCTAGTGTTAGCTAGTTATGCTGTAATTCAGACTATCCTAATAGAGGTATTTATGAATTGTTTCCTTGATTCTCTCTCCTTTTCCCCACCCCTTCTAGGGAATGAAAGCTACCGGTTGACTAAAACTTCTTGGGCTTCACAACTTTGGAGTCATCGCAGAATAAGGCACAATGTCAACAGCAGGAGTTGCTGCTCAGGAGATCAGAGCCCCATTAAAAACTGGATTTCTTCATAATGGCCAAGGCCTGGGGACTATGAAGACCTGCTGGGGCAGTCGCAGTGAGTTTGAAAAGTAAGTCAGGAATATAATGGCACTATAATCTATAAATTTTTGCTGTTAAAATGAGATGGATAATATGATTGCTACTTGTTTATGACCAAGATGTTTTTTCTTTTTAGTAATTTTTTAAATATTGATCCAATAACCATGGCCTACAGTCTGAACTCTACTGCTCAGGAGCACCTAACATCTATTGGTATGTATTCTGAACATCTGAGTGAAGCTAAGCATTTGAAGAGGAAGTTGGCAGTCTGGATTAGTATTAGCGTGTCCTCCGGCATTATTTTTTAAATGAGGAAACAGCCTGAACTATTTCCAACAATAGTCTGACCCCTAGTGGCAAAAGATTCTGAAGATACCACGTTTTTCACAAATTATTGTACCCCACTACCTTTACCCTGAGTCATTGATTCCTAAGTGGAACTATTTGTGTAAGTGTGATCTTTTAAAATCAAGAATTAAGTTGTAATCCCAGCTATGATGAGACTTAACTTTTAGAAACCTTGGACAAAATCTCATATCTTTCTTACTGGTATCAAATGTATGTATGAAAGTAGTATAAATGTTTATAAAAACCTAAAGCGTATATAGGAGCCCTGATGGTGCAGTGATTAAGAGCTTATCTGCTAACCAAAACATCAGCAGTTCGAATCCACCAGCCACTCCTTGGAAACTATGGGGCAGTTCTGCTCTGTCCTATAGGGTCACTATGAGTCAGAATTGACTCGACAGCAACGGGTTTGGTTTTAATGTATGTATGTGGCACTTTTAATGTGAACATTATGATCCATAGATTTTTTTCAAGAGCTGCTTATCAGTTGTACACATTGCAAATGAGTCTACTCACTTGGAGTATTATGATGGTGCTGGCAGTAAGGACCTTGTCTTATCTCATTCATGACCTGCATGCCTTGTATTGTCACATCTCTTAAATGGGAAGGCTGGCGTAGTATGGTATTCATGTAAATTATATACTGTTCATCTTCTGTGCATTTTTCACACGTCACAAAACTTGCCTGAGATGTGTGGATGTGCACCATGCACATGTCCAAGGGAGATACAAGAGATAATTTGTTCTTTGAACCAGATCATGTGCATTAGCAACCTTCTGGGCTCTAATTACACCTATGGTTGCTACATGAGTGTCCCCAGGGATACGTCAGTCAAGTATTTCACTAGTAGTTTAGGCAGAAAGCTAAAGAAGCATAGGTAACTGAGGCTGCACCTCACACAGGTGAGGGGAAGAGTGCTGATCTTTTATTAACATCTCTTGTTCATTCTAGGGCACACTTCAAAATCTGCTCCAGTGAATGGGCACTACTTTGCAGAAAATGGTCCATCTCAGAAATCCAGCTTGCCTCCTCTTATTATTCCCCCAAGTGAAAACTTGGGACAACATGAAGAGGATCAAGTTGTGTGTGGTTTCAAGAAACTTTCAGTAAATGGGGTTTGTGCTTCTACTCCTCCACTTACACCCATAAAAAACTCACCTTCCCTTTTCCCCTGTGGAACTGTTTGTGAACGGAGTTCTAGGCCCCTTCCACCACTGCCAATCTCTGAAGACCTCTCTCTGGATGAGACAGACTGTGAGGTAGAATGCCTAACTAGCTCTGATACAGACTTCCTTTTAGAAGACTGTATACTTTCTGACTTCAAATATGGTGTTCCGGGCAGGCGGAGCTTCCGTGGGTGTGGACAGATCAATTATGCGTATTTTGATACCCCGGCCATTTCAGCAGCTGAAGATCTCAACCATGCATTCGACCAAAATGGATGTGTCCAAGATTCAAATCCTCCCCCATCTCAAAGCCACCGAAGACTGAGAAGATCTCATTCAGGACCAGCTGGATCTTTTAACAAGCCAGCCATAAGGATATCCAGTTATTTACACAGAGCTTCTCCTAACTCTGACGAAGACAAACCTGAGGTTCCTCCCAGGGTTCCCATACCTCCTAGGCCAGTAAAACCAGATTATAGAAGGTGGTCAGCAGAAGTTACTTCTAGTACCTACAGTGATGAAGACAGGCCTCCCAAAGTACCGCCAAGAGAACCTTTATCACGGAGTAACTCCCGCACACCAAGTCCTAAAAGCCTTCCGTCTTACCTCAATGGGGTCATGCCCCCTACCCAGAGCTTTGCCCCTGATCCCAAGTACGTCAGTAGCAAAGCTCTACAAAGACAGAACAGTGAAGGATCTGCCAATAAGGTTCCTTGCATTCTGCCCATTATCGAAAATGGGAAGAAGGTTAGTTCGACCCATTATTACTTACTACCTGAGAGACCACCGTACCTGGACAAATATGAAAAATTTTTTAGGGAAGCAGAAGAAACAACCACAGACACCCAAATCCAGCCCTTATCTGCTGACTGCAGTATCATTTCGGCCACAGAAAAGCTGGACTCTAAGACAAAAATGGATATAGGTGGCCATGTGAAACGCAAACATTTATCCTATGTGGTTTCTCCTTAGACTTTGGGGTCATAACTCAGTGGAGGTTACATGGGAGCAAATGGTTCTCAAGCAATATTCCAGTTGGATTGGGTTCACAGAAGAATCTTTTAGATTGCAGAATGGTTGAACTCTGTCTTAAAGAGAAAGGTTTAGAGCAGGTATGAGGTGCTGTTATGTTGAGAATCCCTGATTTTGTTAGTGTTGGAGAAAAGTCTATTCAAGTCTATAATTTAAAGATGTGATGGCGGGGAGGGAGGGATGGGAAAACTTTTATATATGCATATATTATATACCTATATATAAACTTGTGGTATAACCATAGACCATAGTTGCAGGTTAACCAATTAGTTACTATCTTAGAGTAATATATATTCAGAATAATAAAAACTCAAGCTGGAGAAATGACTCTTGATAGGCTGAAAACTGAGCAAAATGGAAGAAAATACAGTATTGTTTAGAATCAGAGTCATAAAAAAAATTATTTTTGTTTAGTAAGTTTGAAGATTTTTGGCTTTTAGGCCTGTTATATTTCTGTTTCACTTATTTTTGCAAACAGTCTTTTCCATGGATGGCAAGGTGTCCATTCTTTACCAGGGCTGTACCTACAAAGTTTAAAAATCACCCCCAAGGTTTAATACTTCCAAGTTTTTTGTTTTGTTTTCTTTTGTTGATGGGTGGGGGTAACAGTTTATTTGGCAAACCATGTTATCACCTGTACATGTCTCACATTTTCAAAAATGAAAATAGAATTAGTAAATAATTTTTCCTTACAATTCCTGCTTTATTTCACCCACTAAAATGGCCCATTCCAGTTGTGCCTTACAGAGACAGTGGGGTACACTAGACTCGAGTGGGAAGGCAGGCTAGTTGCCAATGTGGAGGGGATCAGTTTTAAACAATAATGAAGCAGTTCTGTGATTGAGAGTTTTTGTGTGGGGATGTGTGTTGTGGAGTTTTTTTTTTGTTTTTAGACTGTATTAATAAACAAATACAACACAAGCTGGCCTTGTGTTGCTGGTTCCTATTCAGTATTTCCTGGGGATTTTTTTTTTTTTTTTTTTTTTTAAGTAAAACACTTCTTCTGACCAATAGCACAGTATGTCTTAATACCAGAGGTCACATCAGCATCTTCTGCTTTTAAAACCCTCCCAGGTGGCTGCTTCACTGCTTCCCTTAAGACACCTAGCTTGTGTTCATATTTTCATATGCTTTAATGTATTTATCTTGTACAGATAAGCACAAAAGAGAGGTGCTCACTAACAGAGGTACATTACTACTACAATGTTCTCTTTAACAGTTCAACAAGCTGTTTACAGTTTAAACTGCTGAATGATAATTTGAGCTATTTAAAGCTTATTATATTTTAGTATGAACTAAATGAAGGTTAAAACATGCTTTAGAAAAATGCACTGATTTCTGCATTGTGTGTACAGTATTGGACAAAGGATTTTATTCATTTTGTTGCATTATTTTGAATATTGTCTTTTCATTTTAATAAAGTTACAGTACTTATTTATGACACCATTAATAATGTTTCTTGACTAAACTCTTATAAAATGTCTCAAGTAATTTGACATATTACATTTTAAAATATAAGGGAAGAGTATTTGTAGTTTAATATACACTTGAAATTTACGGTCATTCCCTAAAATGACAAATAATTTGCGTAATTTATATTTAAATAGTTTAAAGCAATGTACGTTGGAAATGGGCTGTTTGTATTTATCTTTAACAATTAAAAAGCTTGAATTGATTCTGGTAGGTTACTATCAAAACAATTGTAATCTGGGAAGGGGGTCTACTTCAAGGAGAATATAATGGAAGAAACTTACTTGATGTATAGATTTGATTTGACTCAATTTGAGTTTTAGGGCAAGGTCTGGATTATTATGGGCCCTTTGGGAGACTTTCTTTTGATGGGAGACCACTGAGGAATCCCAGCCTGCCCTGGCCTCTCCCGGAGATGGCCAATCCACAGCAAACCAGATGTGCTTCTAGCAGCCCTCAGATGGAGGAGGAAGCTGGGGTGCTGTTTATGAGGATACTTCTTTTTATCCTGTTCTCTTCACCTCACTTTGTCCTGTTGCTAAAGTCCTGCTGCCTACTCTAGTGCTCTGGACTCTTCTCCCTGGATTCCTGTACTTCACAGATGATACTTGTAGGTCTACACAACCTTAATTGGGGACCTGCCTTGCCCTGCACTGTGCCTGCCACACTAGAATTAAAAGGGGAGGCCTCCAAAATCAGACTGACCTGGGTTGAAATGCCAGCTCTACCTCTTTGTAATTATGTGTTGAGCAGGTTATTTGAAATCTCTCTACCTCAGTTTTCACCTTGGTAAAGGGGGGAGTGATGTCTTAGTTATCTAGTGCTGCTGTAACAGATACCACAAGCGGATGGTTTTAACAAACAAATTTATTTTCTCACAGTTTAGAAGGCTAGAAGTCCAAATTCAGAGCGCTGGCTCTAGGGGAAGCCTTTCTCTCTCAACTCTGGAGGAAGGTCCTTATCCAGTTTCTGCTTTCTGGTTCCTTGGAGATCGCCACATGGCTTGGCATCAATCTTCCCCTACCTGTACATGCTTAATCTGCACATCTTATATCTTGCAAGAGATTGACTCAACACACCGTACACTAATCCTGCCTCATTAACGTAACAGACAAATCCTTCCCAAATGGGATTATAACCACAGGCATAGAGGTTAGGATTTACAAGACATTTTGGGGGGGGGACACAATTCAATCCATAACATTCCACCCTTTGCCCACCCCCCTCCCCAGCAAAATTCATGTCCTTCCAACATGCAAAACACACTGATGCCATCACATCAACCCCAAAGTCTTAAATCATTTCCAAGTCCAAAATCTCATCTTCTGAATTCTCTTAAGTCAAATATGGGTGAGAATTTATATTCCACCCTGAAGCAAAATTCCTCTTCATCTATCAACCTGTAAAATCTAGAATACAAGTTATCTGTTTCCAAAGTACAGTGGTGGAACAAGCCCAAGGTAGACATTTCCATTACAAATGGGAGAAATTGGAGGGAAAGAAGGGATAACAGGCACCAAGGAAGTCCAAAACCCAGCATAATTTACATGAGTTCTCAAGGATTGAAAATAATCCTCTCTTTGAGACCATCTGGGTAATAGCCATGCTTTTGCCCAGACTCCGGGTGCTGGCCATGCTTTCTGGATTCTGGGTGGAGGCCCCTCAGCCCTGGGCTTCAGCTCTGCCTTCCAGGCCCTCTGGGATAGCAACTCTGCTCCCTCAGCTTTAGGTGGCCCCATTTTCCTAATCCATCTGAGTAGCAAGCCTACCCCTTCAGCCCTGGAAGTCCCTGTTCTTCTACTCCTTGGGCATGGCAGCCGAACCCACTCAGCTTTGGGCGAAAGCCCCACCCCCCTGGCACACCTTAAAGGCAGCCCCACACTCTGGAACCAAGTTGGTGAAGATCCAACTCTTTGATACCTAAGAGGCTGTGGCCCTACTCTTCGAAACCAAGAAGGCCCTGCTTCCCACGCTCCTTTCAACAGTTCTGTTGATCAAGCTGCTCCAGGGATGGTCCTTTTCTTGGAGGACAACAAATGTAGCCCCGTTAGCCTGTTTCCTGCCTGTAGAATTCCAAGAGGCAAACAGTGTTCTTTCCTTCCATATTTCTCTGTCCCCTTTAGACTAAGCTGATGAGTTTTCTGCTGTGGTAGTTGGTTAGGTCCATCAGTCACAGGCTCAATTTCTTTAACAAAAGATTGTGAGCAACATCCTTGGTGAACATTCTAGGACACATGTCCTTAGTTTAAACAATGGAATCTTCCAAATCTTTAAGTTCTGTTCCATTTTACACAGTACATTTTGTAGTCCATCTCTTTCCTCTTGCATTTTACTATAAGCGGAAAGGAAAAACCACTCAGACCCTTTAAGACCTTGCTTAGAAATCTCATCAGCCAGATATCCAGGTTCATCACGTACAAGTTCTACCTTCCACCAAACGTTTGTACGTAATTCAGACAGGTTCTTTGCCACTGCATAAAACGCATCACCCTTCCTTCGTTATCCAATCACATGTTCATCACATCGTTTTAAAGCTTCAGGAGAAGCACATTTACCATTCACATTTCTAGCAACATTCTGTTGCTGACACATTATGTATTCTCTAAGACGATACTTTATAGCTCTCCTCACTTCTTTCTGTGCTGTCACCAGAATTACCTTTGACATCCACAACAATCTCTTCCAGGAAATACAAGCTTTTACTACTAACCCATTAAACCTGTTGCCGTCAAGTCTATTCCAACTCATAGCGACCCTATAGGAAGAAGAGAACTGCCCCATAAGGTTGTCAAGGAGCACCTGGTGGATTTAAACTGCCAACCTATTGATTAGCAGCCGTTGCTCTTAACTACTTCACCACCAGGGTTTACTACTAAGGAGCCCTTAAAACTCTTCCAGCCTCTATCCATTACCCAATTCCAAAACTACTTCCACATTTTAAGTATCTGTTAGAGCAGCACCCCCACTTCTTGGTACTCAACATAAGAGTGGCTGAGCTACAAAGCCAATTGAATTCCCAACCTCAGTTGTTGTCTGAAGTTAAAGTGAGGGCATTGATTGGGAAGAAATGGGATCCTAAAACTTGGGATGGGGACATATGAGCAGAAAATCAGGAAGCTGGGGACATTGAGCCCCTAAATTCCATTGAATCACTCCTGCCAACAGAACAAGATCTCTTACTCCCATCTAAAGAGATTACTCCATCTTTGTCTGCTAAACCATCCTCCACAGTGAAACCATTATCCCTTACACCCCCATCTGATAACATTAACCTAGCTGTGCCTGAAGAGTCTGAGATATCAGCTGGGGTGGCACCTGGGGCATTGCGTGAGGCATCACCTGAGGCAGATGCCTTACAAGACATTGCGGAATATCCCCAGGACCCACTCACACCACCTATTTTAGCTTCCTGACCTGTAACTAGACTTAAGTCCCAGCAAGCCCCAAGAGGTGAAGTACAAAGTGTGACCCAGGAGGAGGTATGCTACACTCCAAAAGAAATGGTTGATTTTTCTAATATATACAAACAGAAACCTGGGGCATATGCGTAGGAATGGCTGTTAATGATGCAAGGAACACAAAGTTGGATCAGTCTGAGTTTACTGATATGGGCCCACTAACCCAGATCCTTCATTCAATGTTACAGCTCGACAGGTTAGAAAAGAACCTGATAGTTTATTTGGCTGGTTCACTGAAGCATGGATTAAGTGGTGACCTACACTAAATCAGGTTAAAATGCCAGATCTGCCTTGGTATACTGTAGAATTTCCAAAGGCTTAGGGAAATTGGCATGATAGAGTGGATTTATCAGGTAGGACCCACAAACCCACCGATGGAGTACCAAGAGGACACACCTTTTACCACAACGGTGAGGAACAAATTTGTGAACGGAGCCCCAGCATCCTTGAAGACTGCTCTGATTGCTATTTTATGTAAGTCAGATTTGACAGTGGGAACTGCCCTAACTGAATTAAGACACCTAACTTTTTTATTTTTATTGTGCTTTAAGTAAAGTTTACAATTCAAGTCAGTTTCTCATACAAAAATTTATACACACATTGTTACATGACCCTAGCTACTCTCCCTATAATGTGACAGCACACTCCTCCTTTCCACCAGCTCCTGTCCCTTTTTGCCTTCTCATCTGGCCTCCCAACAGGAGCTGCCCATTTAGTCTCATGTATCTACTTGAGCAAAGAAGCACTCTCTTCACGAGTATCATTTTATGTCTTATAGTCCAGACTAATCTTTGTCTGAACAGTTGTCTACAAGAATGGTTTCAGTTCTGGGCTAAAAGAGAGTCCAGGGGCTATGTCTTCTGGGGTTCCTCCAGTCTCAGTCAGACCATTAAGTCTGGTCTTTTTACTAGAATTTGAGTTCTGCACCTCTCTTTTCTCCTGCTGTGTCAGGGACTCTCTGTTGTGTTCCCTGTCAGGGCAGTCATTGGTGATAGCCAGGCACCATCTAGTTCTTGGGCTCTCAGGCTGATGCAGTCTCTGGTTTATGTGGCCCTTTCTGTCTCTTGAGCTAATATTTTCCTTGTGTCTTTGGTGTTGTTCATTCTCCATTGCTCCAGGTGCATTGGGAAAAATTGATGTATCTTAGATGGCCGCTTGATGTCTTTTAAGACCCCAGACATCACTCACCAAAGTGGGATGCAGAACATTTTCTTAATAAGCTTTGTTATGCCAATTGACCTAGATGTCCCCTGAAAGCATGGTCTCGAGCCCCCCACCCCTGCTACTCTGTCCCTCGAAGTGTTTGGCTGTATTCAGGAAACTTCTTAGCTTTTGGTTTAGTCCAGTTGTGCTGCCTTCCTCTGTATTTGGACTTGTCCTTCCTTTAACCTAAGATAATTCTTATCTACTATCTAGTTACTGAATACCCATCTCCCTCCTTTCCACCCTCATAACCATCAAAGAATGTTTTCTTCTGTGTTTAAACCATTTCTTGAGTTTTTATGATAGTGGTCTCATACAA